GCCACAGGGGCGATGGGTTCCTCCCTGAACAGCAAGCTTTGATGGAACTCCAAGTAAAGTGGCTATCTTTCTAGGACAAGTATTAAATCATTTTGAGTTATATGGCCACTACTACACATCACATTGGTCTTTGATAGTAGCGATTACAGGTGTCTTGGTTGGAGAGGCCGATGATTGGGTGGCTGATTTGTACCATCATAGGGCAGAAGAATTAGCAGATGTAGGTCAATTCTTGGCTGCTTTCGTTTTGAAGACAATACAGCTGACAAACAAGCAGAGGAGGATTTGTTAGCAACCAAAAGGGTCGGTCAGCTTGGGAGTATGTAGGGGAGTTTAGGAGGATGGTTAGTAAACTACCATTCATACTGGAGAGTTTGTTAATCCATCTGTTTAGAGAAGGCCTGGATAGTAATTTAAACCAGGCTTGGCTTTATCATGGTTCGTTTACTACGTTAACACCGTGGTATCAAGTGGCAATCGAATTGGACAATGGTTTACGTCGATTGCACCCGAGACTGGAAAGGATTACACCACCAATAAGACCTTTAGGTACTATTACAAGGCAATTATATAGGCAAACTCCAATTCAAAGGGGCAGAGACAGAGGGACATTTTGGTGTTTTCGTTGTGATAGACCTGGTCACAGGGCCATGGAATGTCCTGTACCGCCATTAATTATGATGAAGGGCCCCAACTACCTTAATCTTTGCATTGAGATAAACCAGGGAGATAAGAATGGAAAGAGCGTGAGAGGACGAGAGGAATAGTGAGTAACCCACCCGGAAGCCAGAGTGCAGAAGAACCATTTACTATTCCATCCAATACGTCGTGTGAAAGTGAAATGGAGAGTATTATGCCTGACGATCCTATGGTAAGTAGCCCTATTAATCCTTTTATTATACCTGTGTCTGTGGAATAAACGTACTAATTACACTATTCAAGTGGGGGCATTAATTGATTCAGGATGTATAAGGTGCCTAATTACTAACGCGGTGGTGGAGAAATTGCAGTTACGGGTTATTGAATTGGATGTTCCAATTAAGTTTGAACAGGTGGATGGGTCTATACTAGGTGGAACTCCAGCAACTCATAGGACAAAATATATCAAAATGGTTATGGGAGAGCACTGGGAATGGATTTCTTTTGTGGTGGTTTCTCATATGAGTAAAGCATTAATTTTGGGATTGGCATGGCTGGATAAATGGGAACCGACCATACATTGGGAGAACGGCTATCGAAAGATACGATTAGTGGCTGGTCCTTATCCACCAGAGCATAATGAAAAACATCTGATAGCTAGTAAATTGTTAAATGAAAAAACTCAAGGAATACCTGAATATCAATATCCCAGTGAATATGCAGATTTGTCTGATGTATTCAATGAAGAGGGCACTGATTGCTTACCACCTCGTCGCACTATGGACTGTGCCACAGAATTAATTCCAAGGGCTCCTTTGCCTAAACCACGGATGTATTCAATGACTCCGCGTGAGTTAGATGAAATGAGACAGTACATCGATAAAAATCTAAGAGGGGGTTTAATCACCCCTGGAAGGTCTCATATGGCAGCGCCAGTGTTGTTTCGTGAGAAGAAAGATGGAGGACTTCGTTTATGTGTCAACTATAGAGGCCTAAACGCGATCTGCCTGGAACCATTGTACCCATTACCACTGATTAAGGACTTACTATCTACCTTGGCAAAAGGACGAATATTTACAAAACTCGATCTAAGAGAAGCGTAAAATAGAGTGAGAATACGGAAGGGAGATGAATGGAAAACAATGTTTAATTGCCCTCTCGGTAGTTATCATTTCAATGTGATGCTGTTTGGCTTACAGGGGGCTCCAGTGGTCTTTATGCAACTGATAAACGAAGTGTTGCACGAACATTTATATAGGAGCATTTTAGTTTATCTGGATATTTTAATTTATTCGGATAATGAATATGAGCATATTCAATTAGTGCGACAGGTGCTTTGAAAATTGCTGGATGCCCAGTTATATGTCAAATTGTCAAAATGCGAGTTTCACACCTGGCAGTTGGACTATTTAGGATATTGCATATCTGCACAGGGTATTGAAATGGACCCCACAAAAGTTAAAGCTGTGTTGGATTGGAAAGCCCCGAACACAAAGAAACAATTACGAAGTTTTTGGGGGTTTGCAAATTTCTATCGTCAATTTATACCCCGCTTTGCTGACATAGCTTTACCCTTAACTGAACTATTGCATACTAAATCTATTGATATTGAAAAATCAAAAACAAGAATTGGATTACCATGGACTAAAAAATGTCAGGAGGCTTTTGAAAATTTAAAGCGTTTGTTTGCTCAAAAGCCGATGTTGAAACACCGATCCGAATCTGCCATTTGTTAACCAGGCAGATGCAAGTGATGTGGCAGTGGGAGCTGTCCTATTGCAGACAAACATAAAAGGACTGTTGCAGCCATGTGCTTATACATCCAGAAAATTTAGTTCGACTGAACGCAACTGGGCAATTTGGGAGAAGGAGGCATTTGCAGTTCATTGGGCCTTACTCACCTGGAGACATTTACTGGAGGGAGGTCCACATCCATTTGAGGTGTGGACTGATCATAAGAATTTGGAAGCATTGCAAAGCCCATGCCGATTATCCCCAAAGCAGGTTAGGTGGGCGTTGTATTTTAAACGGTTTAATTTTACATTAAAATATGTTCCATCGGGGAAAAAATTCATGGCAGATGCCTTATCGCAGCTTCCTCAATACAATAACCAAAGGGATAATATAATACAACCACTTATACCATGCAGTAACCATGCTGAGTCATTAAAAACTACTATAGTCACCAGTGACTGGCCTACTATATTAGCAGAAGATCAGTGGTTGATCAATAATAAAAGTCAAGTTGAAATGAGAAATGGGATTGCGTAGCGAAAGGATAAAATGTATGTTCCGAATAGTCTACGATCGACAGTACTGAAACGTTGTCATTACGACAAAACAGCAGGACATTATGGGTTTTTAAAAACATTGCACTTAGTGAAATGACAATTTTGGTGGCCGGGTATGAGGACATATATAGAACGCTATGTGAAATCATGTCCTACCTGTATGGTTAATAAAATAAAAATAGGGAAACCATCGGGATTATTGCAAACTGTGTCTGAGCCCATAAAACCTTGGCAAGACATTGGTATGGACTTCATAGTGGAACTACCAGAAACTCATGGCTACAACGTTCTATGGACCGTCATTGATTTATTTTCCAAGCAGGCACATTTCATCCCTTGTAAAGGATTGCCTTCTGCTAGGAAATTAGCAGTTTTATTCATAAAGCATGTTTATAGATTACATGGTGTACCATGCAAAATCATATCTGACCATGGAGTACAGTTCACAGCAAAATTCTGGAGAGAATTTATATACATGATTGGGTCGACCCAAGGATTAAGTACGGCTTACCACCAATGAAGCTGCGGAATGAGCTAATGTCGCTATAGAGCAATGTACGGTGTTACGTAAATTACCAACAGAGTAACTGGGTGGACCTACTTCCGTATGCTGAAATAGCATACAATAATACAATCCATAGTAGTACGGGATTTTCTCCATTTCAGATAGTTAGTGGTACAGAGTTTGTACCAATACCGGAATGGCCTCATGCAACTCAGGAACCAAATACTGTTTCAACCTTGGTGGATAAGATATGGAAACAATGGGAAACAATAAAAGTTGCCTTAAAACAAGCACAAGCAGAGTACAAATGTCAGGTGGATAAAAAATGATTCGCACAAGTCCAATATAACATAGGCGACTGGGTATATCTCTCAACGGAATACATACAGTTGGGTCTTCCTAATAAAAAATTAGGTCCAAAATATATTGGACTGTTCTTAGTGATACGAGTTATAAATCCGGTCACAGTTGGGCTTTGACTACCTTCACGTTTTAAAAGGATTCACCCTGTATTTCTTATAAGTCTTCTTAAACAAGCTAATATGACTAGACAAGAGCCCAGAGTAAGGACCCCTGGCCCAATCCATGATTATCATTACGAGATTAAGGAAATACTTGATTCCCGACATCAGCGAGGAATCCTACAATATTTAGTAAGGTGGGAGAGCTATCCATTAGCAGATGCTTCATGGGTATCATATAAAGATGTGTCTACTACTCGTCTACATCAACAATTCCATAAAAAATATCCTAAGAAGGCAGGCGGGAGGTATGAACATGGGGCATTACATCATCCTAACCGTATTCCCTTTATTACAGATGGAGAGAGTAGAGGGGGTCGCCTGTCAGGCTTCACTGATCGTGCCTGACACATTGCCAGCCACCTAATAAGGAGTGGGAGATGGGTCTCCAAATCTGCACCTCCTACCCGACTGGCTGTTCCCCTCGCTGAAACAACATGGACTGTTGGCTGTTCCATTTGCGGCACGTAACGATGTGGATCCATTGCAAGTGCCTGCCGAACTATCTTTAGTTGCAGGGCATGAGGATTGTATTGCATTCCAGCGATGAGGCGGGGAACTCATCTTATTGTGGTTTCCTTTTCTTTGGCTTATGAGTCAGCACTTCAGGGTTGGGTGTGTTCTGGGCATTGGATATAGTTGCGATTAGGATTTTGGGCGGCGGCGCATGGGGTTAATTAGTTAGGCGGATGCTAGTTTGGGAATGGGAAGGGGATGGGGCATAAAAGGCGCTGAGAGGCGTTCACTCTCAGCGCTGGCTTTGCTCGGGATTGCCGTTGTGGAAGAAAACGATCTACAATAAACTACTTTTCACCAAACCTGTGAGTAAATGTGTTTGTTGACTGAGTTTCCGGATTTCCGAAATAGGGCTTACACGTATTATATTTCAGTAAAGTAGTAGTGACACTTTCTCAACCTTCCCTCCTAAGCAACACAACTATCAAACTTCAATGCTATAAAAGTAGATAAAACAAACAGAAAACAGCTGCCAAGCAATACAGCTGGAATTGGATAAAAAATATCCATATTTTAAAAAATACTAACCAGAATGGGGACCCAGTAATAATTGAGAGTTGGTGCTGTGTCTTGAATCAGTTTTATTCTCTGGGTGAAAAAAAAGAAAGCAAGGATACCTAAAAAGAAATGAAAATAATTAAATTTCACATTTTTCTCTATATCTTCAGTTCCAATTTGTAAATCCCATCATTTTTACAAATGAGCTTGACCCATACATATTTCAACAGATTTCTTTCCCCCTCACAAATGGGGTTTAGATCTTGTACTTGTTTCTACATATTATGAAAATGTTATAACATGCAAGAGAGGTGGAAAAAGTCTTCCCTAGCTTTATGTCCTCTACATATACTGGATTACAACTCTTGATATCTTAAAATTTGAGGCTAGTGACTTGCAAGTGGAAATTTTTGGAAGAACAAAAGTAGGATTGAAGTAGATCAAAACATAGAAATCATACTTAGGAAAAGAAAAGCTTTACCTCCAGCTATATTAGAATTCCATTCCTGTTATGCAAAAAAAAAAAAGGCTTTGATCCCTGCTTTAAATATATTCTTTATTGCATATACAATTTCATTCAAATGCAAATGCTAAAACCTAAATGAAATCTGCATGGAAACACCAAAAAGAAGACCAATGAGTGACCAAACAAGAGAAAACCCAAAATATCATAAATGTCTTACCAACACTTCCCACAATTAGGATTTTTCCAAGGAAAAACAGGAAATCAGTGACTTTATCCAAAACAGCCACTCTGAATACAAAGAGGAAACAATTACAGTTACAGATAGTCCTTGATCACTGTTAGGAATGTAAGTCACCTAACAGTTAGTTGGGTTGGAAAATATATAAACCAGGATAGACATTTTAATACTGTCTCTTTAAGGGAATGCTAAAATTGTAATTGGGTGTGGTTCCTCAAACAGCCATAAGATGGAGCCAGAAACCTGGCTTGTTCTGTTCTGGTGTTTCTGGAGAGTGTTGCCGTTCCTCCATTTTTCCCTATTGACTGTTATTCTTGGATTTGATGTAAGTCTGTTGCTGAACTGTTTTTGATACTGGACTTTGATATATGGATTATCCCTGGACTGAAAACTGACTACTTTAACTGTGGACTGCTTGTTTGGACTTTGCTTAAACGTTTATTGGAAGTAAAAACCTACATTTTACTATACAGGGTATCTGTGTGCTAGTTGTGTGTTATTCTTCACTATTCTCACTACGTCTCCCTGTGTGCACTCATTCTCCTAACGGGGAATTACCTCAACAATCACAATTTCCATTGCTAAGCAAGACTTGTGTGAGTTTTGCCCTATTGTGCAAACTTTTTTTGGCATAATTGTCAAGTGAATCACTGTGGTTGTTAAGTTAGTAACATGGTTGTAAAGTAAATTTGGCTACCCCACTGACTCTGTTTGTCAGAAGGTCACAAAAAGTGATCCCATGGCCTCAGACACTGCAATCATAGTTGCAACAATCCAAATTTTGATCATGTGACTATGAGAATACTGCAATGGTTGTTAAGTGTGAAAAATGGTCGTGTCACTTTTTTCAATGCCCTTGGAACTTCAAGTGGTCACTAAATGAATTGTTATGAGTCAAGGACTAACTGTATAGAATTGCTATAGAAATATATTTGAGAATGTTACAGCAATGCCTACTTTATATCATGCATCAGCAGAACTCAGGCAGGTGATGGGAGATTACCTGAAAATTCCAGGTAGAAAAATTACATGCTATTAGAAATAGAAAAGGACTGCTTCTGGTTAGGCTCCCTCAACAATGGACCAAAATCCGCAATTGTCTGTGGTTTTGGTTTGTGCTTGCTGCTGGAGGGTTCCAATCTACTTGATTTGGGGCCAAAGCCACCCCATAGAGGTGGCGAAGAAAGGGAAGATCACCAGCTGGGTTGAGGGGAGCCACATCTCTCCTCCTTGGCTAGGCATAAAACTCCTCTCCGAAGGCGGTTGCAGTGGTGGTCAAAATGGCCACCCCAAAGAGGAAGATCTGACCGGACAAGATTGTGCAGGAGCAGAGAAGAGGACAGCTTGGGTGACCAGGCTAAGAAAAATTAACATCTGAATACAAGGTACCCTGGAACTAAAATATTTAAGAACTTTTGAAAAAGAGTTTTAAAGCAGCAGTAAAGAAGAGGGGGGAAAAGTTTTTACAGCTGGAAGTGGCTTTGAACTTTGAGAGAAAAATTAGAAGAAGAAATTAGTGAAAACAATCTTGTCACCAAATAGGCAAATTTAAAGCTGAAATTGAAAGTGTCAAAGGGAAAATAAGGAGTCTTTGAAACTTAAAAGCCAGAAAAGGAGAAAAAGTCGAGGAAGGAAAAAGAGGGTGGAACTTGGACATTTCAGAGAGCGCCATCTGATGTTAAAAGAAACTAATGTGAACTCTTAAAAGATTTTTAAAGAATAATGAAGTACCGTATTTGCCGGCGTATAAGACGACTGGGCGTATAAGACGAGCCCCCAACATTTCCACTCAAAATATAGAGTTTGTTATATACTCGCCGTATAAGACGACTCCCCCACTTGGAGGCATGTTTTTCAGGGCAAAAAAGTCATGGGGCTCGTCTTATACGCCCAGTCGAGTTGTTTCTTAATATCTTTCCACCTCCCCAACCAATTTGTCTCCAAGGGTGCACCACACTGATTGTGACATTAATTATTTCAGAGAGAGAGGGTGGGTGGGGGGGGAGAAATCTTTACTTCCTACTGTGGCTTTTTCCTGCGCATCGTTCTGGCTGCACTCGGATGGCGAGCTGGCTGGAGCAGTCTGGAGCATGTGCAGCTCACCGTTGGGGGCTGGGGGGAGAGAGAAGGCCTCCTTATTTCCACGCGGAGAGGCTCGGTCGCTGGACCGTGGATGAGCGCAAAGGAGAGAGTTCTGAGTGCAAAAGGCCGCCACTGATCAGGCACAAGAAACTGGTCCTTTTCCCCCTTGGCTTTGTGGTTGTTACTTCTTACAGGGAGGGATAATGAGATACCCACGCTGGGAGAAAGCGGAAAGGATGTCTATTTTCCTGCTCACTAACTTTCCAGAAAGCCTCGAGTTCCTACCCCGAGACTTGCCAAAAGTCCAGTTCATTCATTTGCTACCTTTCTCCAACGAGATCCAGATCTGTTTCCACAACGCACTTAGGATCTTATCTTATTATCTTATTATTATCATTAGCCTTGCTCTGTCCATCCAAGAGAGAAGAAGGCAGACGGTTTTGCGCTCAGGGAGAAAGGAAAGGAGCCTCTCGCTCACGCTGCACACTGCCCCCCCCCCACCCCAGCAACACTTAGGAAAAGAGTTACACAAGCATCCTTTCCAGAAGTGAATCTGGGGGTG